GGGGAGGGCTCTGAGCACCTGGCCACACAAGCAGGCACGCAGGGGTCTGTGGGGCCACCTCAACTCTCCCCACTCGCTCGCCCACACTGACAGAAGCGTCAGGTAAGAGGTCCGTGCCTGTGACTAAGGATGCACCCAGGATGCAAAGGGCAGAAAAGATATGAACTCCTTTGGGACTGGGGGTGAGGCCTAGGGGGTGGTGGACGCACACTTGTTATTGTCACATTCCTGTGTTGTTGGTGACAAGTTTCTAGAACTTCTGTAATCATTTGAAAGAAGGTTAGGACAATTCTCTCTGGGGGCATCAGTGCTGGCCACCCATGAGGGAGAGTGAGGCATGAGCAGGGACAAGTCTGGGGTGACTGGCCCAGCCCCGCCACGGCTGCCTTGGGGCCTGGGCTCTGGTCCCAGCACTCTCCGAGAATCTCTGAGTTTCCACACGAGCCCGGCCCCGCCAGCCGGGTCACCCTCCCTGAGTGCCAGGCAGGAGCCCAGAGACAAATCAGAGGAAACCATCCATGAGAAGCCAGCTCAGAGGAGAGGGGAGTAGGACCCCTCTAGGAACACCGTCCCCCCTTCCTAGGCTCGTCCCGCATTCAGATCTGCATGGGCCTGGACGCAGGGATGACCAGCTGACCACCCTCTGAGGCCGGCCGCCTCGGGGGGGGGGGGGTAAGTTGAGGGCATTCTCCACCCTACAAAGCGTCCTTAAAGCTAATCATTCCTTGTGCCCCGGACCAGGACGCGGAGGCCACACCAGTCTGCAGAGCGGGCTAAGGCCTGTCCAAGCACCCCACCTAAAGTAATCTTTCCAATGCAGCAGGGGGACAGTGGGTGCAGGGGCCTCGGGGGAAGACCCAAGACAGGTGCATCACCAGCGGGGGCGGGGCACACGGGAGCCCGAGGCAGACAGTCCCAGGCCCTGCTGCGCCGGGCTGCTGGGGGAAGCCACTCTCTGAGCGGCTGGAGCCCGGGGGTCATCACAGGGCTGCTGTGAAGGTGAATGCCTCAATGCCTCATGGCCCTTGCCTGCTTACCCCCACGTCAGGAATTTTCTGCTGGGAGGTGAGCCCTGTGAGGGGTGGGGGGCAGAGACGGGAGGATCCGAACCTTCTCTTCCTGTTTACCAGTGTTCCCATCCCCACTCCCCGGGGGAGAAGGGAGGGAGCAGAGGAGCAGCCGGCCTGGTCCCTGGGAGTTGGGGGGGGTCAGTCCCCCAGGACACCTCTGCTTTAGCCTGTTTCCCCATCTGTGAGGGCCACACCAGGTGCCAAGCCAGTGTTGTACATGTGTGTGTGTGTGGGGGGGGGAGTGGGCATGATCACAGGGGCAGAAATATAAGTGAGGAGGTGATATGGATTCTGAGGTATCCCCTCCTTCCAGAAGGCACGGTGTGGGTGGAGGGGAATTAGGGGACCCGCGGAGCCCCAAACTCCAGGCTAGAACAGGGAGAGAAAAACAGTGGCTTCCCCCAAACTGCCTGGGTCAGTGCTGCCTCCTGCCTGCCTGGTCTGGAGCCTGGATCGGTCGGGCGCCTCCACAGCCCAGGTCTGGGTTTCCCGTCAAGGGCCAGCGACTGAGCACCAGGCAGCCCAGAACAGCCACCGCGGCAGGCAAGCCGGGCCCCCTGCAGCAGCCTCCAGGGACGAGCCCCCCACCCACCCTCCGATGCACCAGAACCGGCCAGAGCCGGCTGACCGGCCACGACAGGGCTCACACCAGCATTAGAGCAGAAGGCCCGGCATCCCCAGAAACAGCCATGCCCGGACCCAGGACTCAGGAGTCACTGTGGCCTCACGAACTTTAGACAGCTTGCAAAGGCGGGCCCTGCCACGCGCAGAATTACTCGAACCTCCAAGTTTGCCGGTGAGACAGCAGAGAACCAGTGCCTCGAAACCTTCACACAGCCTCCGGGGACTCTGCCCGGCTGGGGGCAAAAGTGAGTCCCCGGTCCTCTCCGCTCAGCACCCAGCCACACGCCAGGAGAAACCAAAAGTGAAAACAAGTTTTGCGAACGGAACCACCGCAGACCCGGTCTCAGCTCCAGCCCCCTGGTATTGGGGGGAAAGTGCTCCCCAAGAGCAGGGGTCCCCAGGACCCCTCCTGCATTGGATTTCAACCCCCTGCCACAAAGCCACCACCCAGCGGCCACCTTTCTCTCCAAACCCCACGCCCGGGCCATGTCACTTTGCACCCCCTGCCACCCTCGGAGCCGCAGGGCTGAGCCCCAGGAGGCCGCTTGGGTCCACAGCCATCCTGTGCCCCGGGTCCCGGGCAGAGTCACCGGGTGGCCCCTCTTCGGGGGAGGCCCACAGACCCAGGGCAGCACCGCCTTGGGCTCAGTGAGCCCAGCCCTTCTGCGGAGGCGCGCAGGGCAGGGCAGGGCCTGTGGCGGGGCCTGGGCCTCCCGGCGGCTCCCGGATGGATGGCAGACAGCGCTCCCAGGGCCCTGCTGGGGCACCCAGCCTCTCTGGGGACTCAGCTCGGCCCCCTGCAGGCGGCACTCACCAGGCGCTTCTGTGGGCGCACGAGCGGCCTGTTGACTCCGTTCATCTTGTGGTAGAGGCCGCAGGCGTTGCACAGGTAGTGGCCGGTGCCGTCACGGCGCCACAGCGGCGTGGACAGGGCCCCGCAGTTGACACACTCGCGACCCTCGCCAGGGAGCTCTTCCAGGAAGTCCGGCACTGGGGGGACAGGCAGCTGGTCGCGGGCCGAGGCACTGCCCTTCCCCGGGGGCCCAGCGTCTGCTGCGTCTTCCCGCTGTGTGTGCCCCTGGCTTTCGTTTTATTTTAACATTTATTTTGTCTAATTTTACTTTAAAGCTTAACTTTACATATTATAAAGTTTGTGCCAGATTAAAAGAGAAGCTGGTTAGGGTTGCCTTGCAGGGTGGGGGAAGGTAAGTCAGTCAGACCCCCGGGCGGCAACAGAATGGTTCCCCTTAGAACCAAGGTGTAATTTTGATCCCCTGGGGAGGCGGAGTGGTCAGCACCGGCGGAGGGAGGTGGCCCCAGGGCCTCGGCCTCTGCAAAACGGGACGTTAGGAGGGCCGGGCTGAGTGGATGGTGCCATCCCACGGAGCCTACAGCCCCTGCCTTTCCTGTGGGCTTTGCTGGGGTGGCGACCACCGTGGAACACAGCTGGGCCTGTGCCACCGCTCAGGGGCCCGCAGGGCAGAAGGGAGAGGTCCCCGGCTCCCTCCCCGGCGGCACCGGGTGCCCTGTGGGGGCCGGGTGGGGGTCAGTCCTGCGGGAGCCGCCCTGGGTGACGGCGGAGGGGACCCGCTTCCTGCGCCATGGAGGCAGTCGGGGCCGAGGCGGCTTGGGGGTGGGCCTGCGAGGCTGCACCCATGAAGTAGGGTGGCCCAGGGGCTTCCCGCCTGCGGCGAACACAGGCGTGCACCCCCGCCCCCCCCCACCGGAGTAAATGCGCCTGAGGGGCCTGGAATCCGATTATCCAAATTGGCACCCCGGGGGCGGGCGGTGAGCCACTGAAGCCAGGTCTCAAATTAGAATATGTAAACATTCTAGAAGGAGCAGAGTGTGGCCGCTTACTGAAATAAATCGTATTCTGAATTTTATAAAAACCACTTAGAAACTTCTCATAAGAGCGTATGAGGTGAGCTCAGCTGGTGAGACCCAGGGGGTTGGGTTCAGAAGAAAGGAAGCCCAGGACGGCAGTTTTGGTCTCAGGGTGGGTGACATTGTGGCAGATGCTGTATTCTGCCCGCGTGTACTTGTCCCTCAGTTCTGGGCCTGGCGGGG